CTCTTTCAAATGATGAAAATCGCAGCTCTCTATCTTGTTCCTATCAAGAGTTATTCGCAATCAAAACTGACCGGTAATTTGTGGACCACTCTGCACATGCATTAGTGGCATCCGAATATAAATTAGAGATACACATCTTTGTGGTAAGTCATTTGTTGGAATGAAAATTTTTAAATTGATTTCAATTTAACCTGTTGGATCAATGAAACCTTTTCCTTGAAATTTGAAAATTAATATTCAACTTTGTGTGAAAGCGAATTTCACATGTTCAAACTAGAATACTGGTGCCTATACTAAAAGCAAGAACAAGAAGAGGCTACGCTTTTTCTAGCTACTCTACCAGAGTAATAATACCAAAGTTAAATTGCTTTGAGAATTATGTGACCTTGAAAGCTTATCTCTTTGAATTCAGAGCAAACTTGTCACTGCAACTTGATTCATAATCCTAAGAATGAAGAGTCAATAAAGTCATCAGTAATAAAGCAACAGCAATTCAATGATAGTAATGACATCCTGAGGTACAAGGAAATAATAAGCTTTGACAACGCTTCATTATCTTTCTTTTTCTCACTGCCTACCTTTTTTTAGTAGCATTCTCTCTACTCAAAATATTTCTTTTTAGTTTGGAAAGAACAAAACTTTATTCTAATATAAAAAACTAAATCCTGATCTCAAAAAAATTCATGGAGATCTTGCCTGTCACTATAACCTGTTCTAGTATTGATGTTTAGAAATGACTGAGCACTCCCTTATTAATTGGAAAAATGCTTACTACGTAATTCTCTTCTTCTATTCGAACTACGATGATCTGAGTTTTAGCTATGAGAGCCTCAGAATTCGTTTTAGAGTATCCTACAAATAAATTAAAATACGCTCTAGGCGAAAACAAGTAGATCATAAAAACTCTTGTATTGATGAGTTCTGAGTAGAATTGAACAAGTACCGGCAAAAACCGAGAAAAGATACGTTCATAAATACAAGAATCATCTCCAAGATGTTTCTATTATGACTGAGCGTTGCTTGCTTAGAGTTATCTTCTCTTTACTTTCACTTACTGGAAATGAATATGGAAGGAGCAAAGACAGAAAAGCAGTTTCTGGGTTTCTCATTCGGTCTTCATCAGATTTCATAATTATTTTAAAGAGAAACTTTCATCTTAACTCTGAAAAAGCGCCGTCGTCCCTTCTTTTCTAAGTTATATCAATAGGCACACTATGCATATGCACCGAGACAAAGGTATTTGGTATCAAATGTTCCTTTTAAATACGAGGTTGAATAACTTGTTCAAACAGAAAATGGCAGAAAATAAAAATGACTGCATAGAAATTAACTAGTTGACAGTAGAGTCAATATTTCTCATCATCTGTCAAACTCGTTATATGCCGCTTCAAAATTCATTGGATTGATCATATTTGACTATATAAGATGCTAAAAAGATGGTAATAATGACGTCATATAGGGGAAGAGGATCCAAAAATCGAGAAAAAGTAATAACGTAATATGTGAACGGCCCCAAAAGTAAAACCTACGTTTTTTTTTCAACATTTTACTACACGTCTAATCTGATCATCGGCCGAAAAACAGAAACGAACAGTAATTTGTGTATTGCATCATCTATTTACAAAGTGGTATTTCAAAGCAAACTTGTCCATATATAAAATTAGTTGAAATCTTTCTTTTATTCGATCACATTCTCTTCTTTCATTGTCATGTCATCAAATATTACTACATACAATACCAGTATATCGATTGTTTCCACTTTTATGGGCGAGAGTTATTTGTCGCGTATGATCAAATCCTCCATATTTCTTACCGGTCAGATAGTGTCAATTCCTTGCAATCTGTTTATTTTATATCATCTTGTTGCAACACAAGCAGCTCGGCGATTACTCTATAATCATGTCATATTCATCTTAATGATCCTTAATTTTCTGATTGTTACCTATGATCTAGGGATGATGATCAACTTTTACCAACAAGGAATCGTTAGTCCAGCAACAGTCGTTGCCTGTTTCATTTGGCAATATATTGACTATGCGGGTTACAATTTAGGTATTCTTCTCATTTTATGGGCATCGATCGAACGACACATTCTCATCTTTTCGTCACATTTAGTTAATAGTTTCCGTCGACGACTTGTGTTTCATTACTTGCCTATTGCAACTCTAATTATATATACAGGTATATTTTACATTTATGTAATCTTCTTCTATCCATGTAACAAAACTACTTTTCCTACGCGTTCATATTGTGGACGTCCATGCTACATAAGTAAAGGTGTGGCGGCACTATTGTTTTACGAATCGTTCGCTCATCAAATTTGTCCAATATTTCTGATTGCTGTCTTCAGTGGTCTTTTATTGTTTCGTGTTATCCGACAAAAACAACGTGTTCGACAAGCTATACAATGGCGTCAGTTTCGAAAAATGACTATACAACTCATCTACATTACATGTATTCATGTTGTCTTTGCATTCCCATACACTATGGTTGTTCTTATCCATTGGTCAGGTTTGCCAGAAGTCGGAGCAAACCTACGAAGATACTATTTCGATCCACTTACGTATTTTATCGCTATTCTCTTACCATTTGCTATTCTTCTATCATTACCTGGTCTTAAAGAAAAATTTAAAAACCTATGGCCTTGCCGCCGTCATCGACGAATGATTGCTCCAACGACAGGAACAAGAGCTGGTAACATCTATATAAATTAGACTTATTGTTCTCGCCGTAAAAATACTTACAATTTACATTATCTAGATTTCGATTTTCATCTTTTGAATTCTGTTTCTTGTAAATACTTCAATTCCTTATAGTCATTTATTCTCGGCACCGGAACAATAGTTTGTTTTGAGGAAAAGCGGATCCAGTTACTGAGACTGTAATGAGAAGCTGTACCTCGACTTTGTGTCGTAGCTTTCGAAAATACAAACATTCTAATGAAAAATTTGATTGTAGTATATATAAGCAGGACTTAGTTTTTTGAATATCCGTTCCTATACTGATTCTCTAAAGTCGAAATTTTTCGTTTCAATCCTGAATGGGAAAAAAGCAAAGAAGTGATGAATGCTACTGTCTGTCACACGCATTCTGTCTCTGTCCAACCCATATGAAAAAAAAGTGAAAAAAAACCACTTTTAAGAGAGGTTCCACTAGATCACTCAACACCGGGATCAGGGACAAATCTTTTTAAATACTCAAACCAAAAGGTTTGGGTTAGATTTCTATCTAGTTTTCTAATACTTGGGTGTGGATGTGGATGTGTGTGGGTGTGGGTATGGATGAAAAGAGACAAACACTGACCCACACCCACACCGATACCCGGCCAAAGACTGTCGGTATCCAGGCGGCGCCGGAGCTAGCCCACTCCTGGTTGTGCCACTAGACGTATTGCATACTTAACCCTTTCACCGCGATTCGGTTTTCCGAAGAAAATAACTTCAACATATTAATTTTCATGCGTGTCCGCGCTTGATAAATGTGCTCATTGATATTTTCAGTCTGTGCAGCTATTTGTTTTTCTTTCTATTGTTTCTATCATCGCATAGGAGGTCTTCTTTCGCGTCGAATTGAATAGTCACGCAAGTTTGTTTTTCTCTCTGTTACATGCATTATACAGTAGGAATGAAAAAAAGAAACAAAATTTCAATTTTTGTCTTTCACATTCTTTTTGTAACGTAATCATTGACTCTGTTAGGTGGTGTTATGACCTCATTCCTGTCCTCTCTTAGTGTCATCGCTATTATATGACATAATCATATCGGTACATACTCTATTTTTCTTCACTTTCGTTCTGATGATATGTATGAAAAACACACACTATTTTTCTCTGTTCTTCGTATACGTACGTTCAGGTTATCCAAGTTCATTTTCTCTTTTCTGTTCTATACTTCTCTCTCTCTCTCTCTATATATATATATATCCCAATAAACTGATTTCACTTCCACTAACTATACACAAAACTTACATAAAAATAACTGAAATTTTGCGGTGATTTGTATGTCGTCTGAAGAAACCGATACAGAACATAGCGATAACTGACTGAGTGATGTGAGTTCTTTGAATGATGATTTTACCAGAATGCAATTTGAATCGTCAAGCTCCGATGAATAAGCTACAGACGATGATGTGGATTCACAAGTCTGGAGTGAAATAGAATCAGAATCGGATGCTGAATTTCAGGAGGATCATGGAATGGTCGAAGAAGTAGCGACAAGTTCGGAAGATAGTATGATCAATCCTATTGATTGCTATCGATATTTCATCACTGATAAGATTATTAGCCTCATGGTTCGTAAAACTAATCGATATGCAGAACGAGATCTAGAAACTCAGAAGCATACCAAACGATCGAAAACTCTTCAATGGAAACCAACTACTAATGAAGAAAAGCTCAAATTTTTGGGAATTATTATTGAGATGGGATTGGTGCAAATGCCGAAAATAAAGTACTACTGGAGCAAAAGCAAATTGTTTGGATCTGAAGTCATTCAAAATACAATGTCGAGAGATAGATTTGAATTACTTCTCAAGTTTTATCATTTTTCGAACAACCAAGAAGCGCATGCAGACCAAGACAGATTGTTCAAATTGAAACCACTTTTAGATTTATTGAAAGCTAGATTTAAGTCAATTTATATTCCTGGCTCAATTATTTCTATCGACGAAACAATGGTATCATGGAATGGGGAACTTTTGTTCAAACAATATATTCCTGCAAAAGCGCATAAATATGGCGTAAAGATATACAAGCTAGTGGCTACTAATGGATACACATGGAATTTTATGGTTTATACTGGTAGGCATGATCCAACAGCTGATCTTGGACAGGCTCGAACTGTCGTAATCGATTTGGCAGATGATCTTTTGGGATGTCATCGAACTGTAGCAGTTGATAACTTCTTTGCAAGTATGGCTCTAGCAAAAAGTTTATTGCGGAATGATACGTATCTTATTGGAACATTGAGAAGTTATCGGGCTGGATCAGGACACGAAGTAGTTCAGAAAAAGCTCAAGCATGGTGAAGTTTATGGACTCCAGAGCAACAATGGTATAAAAATAATCAAGTGGAAAGATAAAATAGATGTTTTGATGATATCCACAAAGCTATCCCATTCAGCCACTTTAGTGGAGACCAGAAAAACCAATAAAGCAAATGAACGCATCATGAAGCCACAAGTTATCGTCGATTACAATAAAGGAAAACAAGGTATAGATTTATCAGATCAACTATCGGCATACTACACATGTCTCAGACGGTCTAAAAAGTGGCATCAAAAGGAGGCATTTGAAATGATATTTGGAATGTCAATAGTGAATGCTTATTTGATTTACAAAGAAAATTATGACACAAACCGTATGACGATGCTACAGTTTCATGAAAATCTTATGCGATCTCTACTTCTTGGTGTGCCATACGAGAATCTAAAACCTGGTCCGAGAGAACGTTAAACAAGTCAAACGAAACGCAAGCTGACGGATCACAAGCTTGAAGAGATGGAAGGATCTACACGTCATATCAGAAGACGATGTATTGGTTGCTATGAGAAGATTAGGCAACAACAATCAAGAAAAGCAAGTGCGACAGCAGCAAAGAGAATTAAAACTTTCTGTCCTGACTGCGACAAATTCTTCTGTCTTGATTGTTTTAATGAAAAGCATACTTCTACATAATAAAATAGATCAACCAGTGACAAAGATGGAGTAGCTCTATAACTAACTATCCCTTCCTATTTAAAAAAAAAGAAGAAAATCTACTTTCTCATCATTTTTCTGGTTAAAACATACCGTAAGTCGCCGGTGGCTCACATCACGGTGAAAGGGTTAATGGCATATGAAAGATGAATGAATGAATTGGAATCCTAAATTTATTTTCCTTCCTTCCGCACGTCTTCTTAAATTATATGCTAGACTATAGAATCCTATTCTTATAAGGATTGGTTTTAATCATTTAATAGATTTTTTTCTTTCGAGAATCTACATTCACTATATATATATATATATATATATATATATTTATTATCGACATATTATCGCAACAAGAATATGAAGACCTTAAATGGAAACTTGATCATATTCCTGAAAGTATAACTGGGAAACAACGACAAAATCTTCATCAAACATTCAAGAAAAAAATTAAAGAACATGAATATGCATCAACTTATCCGCCATTCGAACCGTTCCCATATGAATTATTTTTTATTGATTATACTACAACTGAAGAAATATTAATTCATTTAATTGAAACAATAAATATTTTAAATACATTTATATTAGATATTGAATGAGTATGCATTTATAAAAAACCAAATGAACCAGCTCTAATGTAACTTCGAGCAATACGACAAAATTTAAATTCATTTATTATATTTTTTGAAGTTTGTCATTTAACACAACCAACAGCAAATCCATTTCATTTAATTCAACATTTATTTAAAGTATTATTTGATCCAACAAAAACGATTTATATATAGAGATGTATCGATGAATTGAAACAATTTGTTAAATTCAGTTTATTTTCTATGGACTAAATTTATTTTTCAGAAAATTTTAATTTGCAACATGAATTTAAAAATTATTGGCAACAACATCATCCACATAAACCATTATCATCATCAACATTAATTAATTATTCAACATCTATTTGTGAAGCATACAGCGGTATACAACCTAATAATCCGTGGAGATTACAAGATTCAGTCGCATATAAGCTGAATCGATGGTTAGACAAACGTGAAACCAAATCACCATTTGATATTGGCCTTGATTTAAGAATGAAACATTTAAATTCAAAGGAAATTGAACATCGACAAACATCAATAAAATACACCGCAGCTGACTGTTTATCGATGCAACAAATCATGATAAATATAAACATAATTGATCCTCAACAATCATCTAATTTATTAAATGAAACATGTATTTTAACAATTGAACAATGCATTTCATCTATTGAACTTCTTGAAAATAATAATGCTTTATATACAACTCAATATGATTCTATGACTCATTCACCTGAACCAATTATTCCACCATCTATCTTAACACAATCAACAACACGTGATTGGGAACTAATTTCATCCAATGAAGATGAGTCAACATATACACGTTCAACATCTCGAAAATTAAAACCTGTTCGTCGAAAAACAAATGAACTACATTCAATAAGTGAAGAATTAAGTGCCAAAGAACATCACAAAATCCACAATCGATCGTGCACATTACGGCAAAGAAAATATTATCATGCACATACAATAACAGCTGAAGATATTTATCCTCGATTCGGCATTCGACAAATCAAATCGATTCTCAAGGAACACAATATCGAATTTCGTGCAGTCAATGCAACAACATCAAAGAAAACAAATAAAACATACTTATATATTGGTATTACTGATCCAAATAATTTAGTATCCTATCAAACAAGAACAAGAAATTTATTTACAAATCAAAATTATTATGCAATTCGTCGTCAACAAAGAAGAACACGTTTTAATGCTAATCGCATGAATTCTCAAAATTAATTCTTTAAAAAAAAAAGAAAAAAAGATTTACATGAATCTGTACTTGAACATCTACATCGACCATTAAATCAACATTTGTTAAACATGTTATATTTTTATTTCATGAAACTTCATCATCTATTTCGTCAACATGGGCTGATACTCTTCTTCAAATAAACACTTAGTAAATCTAATGTCTGATTTTTTTCACTATTTTTTGTTATTGTGAAGCTATTAAACTTTTTCTATCATTATTATATTTGTTTCTTCTCATATTGATCTATCCTATGTGATTTCTCTTTTCTTTCTATTGTTATTTCATTATTTGTTTCTTTTCTCATGTTTTCTAGTGTCATTTTAACTTTACTATGTGAAGCGTATATACAAGAAAAATGCTAATGAATCACATTTTTTTCCACTAATGGGAGGATAATAGCGTGTAATATCGCTCGTTATTAGTTTTATTCTTTCCATCTAGTGTATATGAAATTCTTTCTCGTCTATTTTTTGTTCTTTCGTCATCTACTATTTCTAGTCGTTCGTTTCATTTTGTTTTTCATTTATTAAACAAAGTAGTGTCGAGGACACACACACATATATATCTGCATTCTTACAAGAAAGAAAAAATAAATCGAACATATAACACATCTAATATAAAAAAACAATAAATAATCATTGAAATAAAATTATTATGTATGACTCACACCGAGCACAGAATAAAGCTTCTTTGATACAGCGTTCTCAATAGACATTTGAAGTAAAATATTTTTGTACACTTTGGTCACATCATCAAAGTCTCGATAATACAAAAATGCAGTATATCAAATAATCAAGAAAAGACAAGAGATGACAGTTTGTTTTTTTTCTATCCAATATGTTATCGCCCACATTCACACCTGCGCTGATTGCCTGTAATTTGATACACGTCAAGTAGTGAAGCGCTGCACGTCGTATAAAAGAACCAAACAGATCGAAGAAGCAAATAAAGGTAATATAGTATCCAATGAAATCAGAATGCATCTGCATTTTCAAGTTTTTCTTCCGAAAACATGTGATGCTATCCAACCAGCATTTGTTAGTATTAACAGATGTCACCATATTGTCACTACTTACGTTTTTCTCTTGTCTTTGGGTGCTTTTTTCTTTTCCTTGTTATTTTTCATCAAGGTTTCGTTTCTTTTTCGTTGTTTACGCTACTGTACTCTTATTTCAGCGTTCTTCTTTTCTCATTTTTATCATTCTTTGAATGTTATTGATACTACGACTTTCTTTTTTCTTCACAGATCAAAATCTAACATAGATAGAAGTTTTGGTAGTCTTATACATAGAACATCTCACTGGCACGAGGTGAAAAATACACCTGTCTTATAGTTATTACTTAAAAACAAAAAGAACACGATGAATCATTCGAGAGATTAGTTGTATTTTAATTCGACTCAATTTTCTGTATCGTCGATGTTACGCAGAAAAAAATGAAGAGATAAAACACACAGTTACTGATTTTAGATTTCAAATGTGGTTCATTCTATTACATTTAATTTCAACAACTGTTGCTATTCCCACAACTTCCCCTTCAAGTATTACCACGACTTATCTTATTTACGACAGTGTACTAGGTGGTCGATGTGATTCGGATACGAATTGTGGAGGTCTTGTTGGCAACTCAATGTGTCTTAATGGTATATGTGTTTGTCAATCCGGATATCGACCAGAAGGAGACATGAATTGCATTGAAGGTGAAGGTATGAACAATCTTTTGTTTTAGGTCATTATTTATAAATTAAGTTTAATTGTAAAAGATACCACTACTTTAAGTAGTACCACCTTTATTTATGACAGTGTACTTGGTGGCCCATGCAATTTAGACACGAATTGTCAAGGTCTTGTTGGTAGTTCAATGTGTCTTGATGGTATATGTGTTTGTCAACCTGGATTTTTCGCAGAAGGAACTCTGTATTGTATTCATACTGAAGGTATAAACAATCTTTCTTTTAAGTCGTTATTTATAAATTAAGTTTAATTGTGACAGATACTACTACTTCAAGTAGTACCACCTTTATTTATGACAGTGCACTTGGGGGTGCGTGCGATTCGGATACGAATTGTGGAGGTCTTGTTGGCAACTCAATGTGTCTTAATGGTATATGTGTTTGTCAACCCGGATATCGACC